GGCCGACACCGCCCCCCCTCAGCACGGTGCTGGCGTCCTCCGCCGCAACCGGCGCCACTCGGCTCGAGACGGCTCGGAAATACTGACCGCTTTGGCAATTCAGGGCGCACAGTGCAGCACGGGTCCCACCCCGCGGGAGGGAGGGATCTTGGACATCGACACAGGTCTGGATCCCAATAACCGACTTCACGACCGGAAGCTGAGCCTAGATTCTGTTATTAAACCAACTTAAGGATCCGTAATGCAGCCCAGGACTGCAGGCACATCTGGCGCGGGAGCACACAATCCGGGGCGCAACGTCTGCTGCGGAGAGTGCTCACAACGATGGAGCACACGTCTGCCGGTGGGGTCGAGGACCGCCTACGCCACTGACACACCTAATCAGTGCATACCTAGCAAAACCACCCAGCTCACGCTCCCCCACCAGCCGTCGCGCCAGGCCTATCCATGATGCACCCAAATAAGCTGCCGTCCCCGTTCATGCGCCGCAGGGTGCCACCACCAGATCCGCGCGGCCGGCGTGCCCACCTGCACGTCCAGGATAGGGGCCGGGCCGTTCCGCCAGCCGAGCCGGCGCACGAGCGCCGCGTGCCGCCGGCCGTCCAGCAGGTACACGCTCAGCGTGCGGTTCGTGGCGCAGCGCAGTCCTGCCGACGGGGCGGGGCAGGTAAGGCGCGGCCGGCACGGACCACCGGCGCGGCCGGACATGATGGCAGGTTACCGCTGTTACGAGTCTGCACAGACTTCGGCGAGAGGTCGCCGGTGACAGCGGTGGCCGAGCCGCCGAGCCGCCGGCGATCTGAACTGACGCCGACACGGCCCGATATCAGATAATGACATGGCCCGATACCAGACACTGACACGGCCCGATATCAGACACTGACACGGCCCGATATCAGACAATGACATGGCCTGATACTAGACACTGACACGGCCCGATATCAGACACCGACACGGCCCGATATCAGACGCTGACAGGTCCGATATCAGACACCGACACGGCCCGATGTCTAACGCCGACAGGACTCCGACATCACAGCACTAACGCGGCCCCGATATCAGACACTGACACGGCCTGATATGCGACACCGACACGGCCCAACGTCCGAAACCGACACGGCCCGATGTCTAGCACCGACAAGGCTGGGTGGGACACCAAGCCCGAGTTGACACACGGCTCCAGGCCAGCGAGTGCGGCTGATGGCGTGTTAGCCCAGGGCCAGCTGACCTGTAAAGTTGGCCACAGACGGCGGCTGCACCGGCTCTTCCGGCTGCGCCTCCTCCTCATCATCCGCCGCCGCCGGGCCGGCGTCCTCGGCCAGCAGCAGCGCCCCGCAGCGCGCCCGCGCCTGCTGCTGCACCCCCGCAGCCTGACCACAGCGGGGAGGGGGTGGGTGAGCGTCGAGGTCAGACAGCGACGCGCCCGGAGACACCGCACAGCTGCTCGCCGCCGACCACTTTCCTCGGCGTATGGCTGCGCCGCGCACAGAGGTGGAGAAGTAGGCACACCCACAGCGAGCCAGCGCATACCGGGACCTGTTGACATCAAGGTCACGACGGCACGGTATCTGCGCGACGCATTGCCACAGGCTGGGCCTGGCGGGGAGCCGCCTGTTATGAGACACAGATGTCAGGAGGCAAACTACAGAGAACGAGAGCGAGAGACAGAGACAGAGACGGATATGTTTGCATCTATATATATATATATATATATATATAATATATATATAGATAGTATATATATATATACATATACACATATATCTTTGGCAACACCTTGCCAGACACATCTTACCAGGGCCAGCGACATACCACTGGCGGACAAATATCCACAAATGAACCGTACAATCCCGACTCAGACTCCCGACCTGCGGCACACCTCCTTCCGGCCGCACCAGCGCTCCGCTCCCCCTCACCTGGACGTCCGGATGTCCGAGGATGTCCGCGTGCGGCTGGCCGGTGTCCGGCTGTTTGGGCCGGCCAGGGTGCGTCGCCGAGGTCGGCGGCGGCGGCCCGCCGGCACGAGGCGACGCCATCGCGCTCCAACCGGCCGCAGCACTGGCGACACACGCGCGCGCGCCGGCGCGCACCGTCAGCGCATGTTGAGGAAGCCCACGTGGCCATGATCTGGGCTTTCAGGGTGCGCCGACTGCACCGGTCATGTGGCGCCCACAGACGGGCGTGGGTTATGCGTTGCCGACAGATGTCTGCGTCTCACCACAGGCACGAACGGGGAGGCTTCTGAACCTACCACTGATGCCAGAGGCGTCAACAAGCTGGTGACAAACTGGTGAAGCATAACAGCCACCTTATTCTAAAGAACAATGTGCACAGTGAACGCTGGCTAGCCGGGGGCGGGCATGGAGGCGGGGTGGGGAATGGAGCACATGTTCTGTGTTCACTGCTGAAAGTGTGCTCAGTGTTCTGGCTCCATTGTTACCTGCAGCCTTCGACATTGCGCTGGAAAACAATGCGCTGGACTGATGGAGACGGTGACGCTCTCGCTTTGCTGCACTGCTCTATCGAATGAAAAAGACGGGAATAGAAGGCGGAACACATTCAAACGACGAGGCAGACCGGGACAGGACGTACAGTGTGCGCCGGTGGCTTTGTACATACATTGAGATGGATCTTTCTGAGCTCACCAGACACCCGACGGGTACCGACTGGCCGCGTCTCACGCACTAACCTGCTAACGTACTGGCGATCCGATCGCCAAGGTTGACCACCGCTTCGGAGCGGTTACAGTTGTTGTATTCAAGCCACATGCGGCGAACCTGGCGGCAGAGAAACGAAACAGTAGTCCGTGAACTTTAAACCAGGGAAAATAAGCGCGGAGACGGAAGCATGCAAAACTTCTTCGGGTTTCTTTACGTCGCATAGTGTTCAAGCATCGAAACGTCGCAGGTTAGTCCTCGCGTGCATCATCAACAAGACCAGGGGAATACTACCAAACCATCGCACTGCCGGAGCAGCAGCATCCGAAGATCAGGCCCTAGACCGAACAAGAGAACAAACAGTATCCGGGAATACACCGCACCCGGGGACATCCCACATGTAACCGCACCCTCAGCCTGGAATCTGTTTGACAGCCGGTCTCAGTCACAGCGGGCCTAACTCCGATCTACCCCTCCCAGTCTCCATCTCTCGCTTCCGGTCTCCATCTTTGGCTCTCAGCCTCCATATCTCGCCACCAGTCTATCTCTCACTTCCGGTCTCCACCTCTCGTTCCCGGCCTCCATCTTGCGCTCCCAGTCTCCATCTGCCGGCCTCAGTCCCCTCTGGGTCCCAATCTGGCCCGGTCTCCGTCTCGGCGCCCGTCACCGGCTCCGGCTACCCTCCCCCCCCCGTGCAGTCACAAACCACCGTGGCGGCGAGGTGGGCGGCGGGTCCGTACTCACGGGTGCCGTGGCGGCAAGGTCGGCGGCGGGCGCCAGTGGCCAGCGCCGGCCCAGCACTAGCAGCGCCGGTCCCGCCGCCGTCACCGTCTGCAGCAGGGCAGACTTGTGCGCGGGCAGCTCCAGCCAGCCCGCCATCTCGCGGCGCCGAGACCACACGTAGTTTTGCATCATCTCCGCCGACAGCGCGCCCGTCGCCGGGGCCTTCAGAACCTGTGGCGGACGGAGGACACGAGGCTACACAGCGGTTGCAGACAGGACGACAACGTCTCAGAGTGGCGACAGCACCAGACGCATGTCCCTCATGCTACCCTCCTTGCTGAGAAAATAACGCACAGCGTCTAAATCAGCGTACGTCTGACGACAGAACATCTCCAGCTTCCCTGAACGACGGCAAGACGCGTGTCATGCGATTTCCTCAGATAATACACAGACACTAAGTGCTGGAGCTGAAGCAAATACAGACACGTCGTCATCCGCCAACAGCGGCCACCCAAACAGCCCGGGGTGGGCCTTTGTTTTGACTCCAGAATTCGGGCACCAGATCTCGAGGACATTTCGGGCATTTTGTGTCGAAACATCAAAACTGTCATCTTTAACCACGTGAATATGTATATTAAAGAACATTTGAAATGAAATAGATAAAATGAACAACAAACGAGAACGCGCGGGTTGTATAATGTACGATGGAATAAAAAACACTTCAGTACGTCCGATCGCCTCGTCTCCTGAGGTAATGGCCAGCAAACAGTGCAAAATACCGCATGCTATACACGAATGATTAAGCCCGCGGGCACGGCATGCACGAAGCCTATGCTTTACGATCCCGGCATCGCCAATTCCCTAACCGGTCCATGCGGGGAGACGCCCGTCCGCTGCCGCTTACCGTGGTGCCGTTCCAGTTAAAGACGGCCAGGCCGCCGACGTGGCGGAGGCCGAGCCGGGCGGCGGCCGGCGCGCTCGTCACCACCGCCCAGGCCAGCTCCGAGTCGGGCTCGGCCTCCAGGCTGCGCAGCGCCGCCCGCAGCAGGCTGAAGAAGGCGGCCGGCGCCCGGCCAGACACGAACGGCGTGTAGCCCACGGCCACCGCCTGCGGCAGCCGGCCGGCGGAGGGGCTGTCAGCGCCCGGTGTACGGAGGGGGGGGGGAGGGGGCTGTCGGCGCCCGTTGTACGGAGGGGGAAGGGGCTGCTAGCGCACGGTGTACGGAAGAGATGGGGACTGTTAGCGTCCGGTATACGGAGAGGGGGGGGGGGGGGGGCGGGCTGTTAGCGCACGGTGTACGGAAGAGATGGGGACTGTTAGCGTCCGGTATACGGAGAGGGGGGGGCGGGCTGTTAGCGCACGGTGTACGGAGGGGAGGGGGCTGTTAGCATCTGGCGTACGGAGGGAGGGGAGAGGGGGGGGGGGGGGGGCTGTTAGCGCACGGTGTACGGAAGGGATGGGGACTGTTAGCGTCCGGTATACGGAGAGGGGGAGCGGGCTGTTAGCGCACGATGTACGGAGGGGGGAGGGCTGTTAGCGCACGATGTACGGAGGGGGAGGGCTGTATTGGCGCACGGTGTAGGGGGCTGTCACCCAGGGTCTGTCAGCACCTGTAGGTTATGGACGCCACATGACCAACGCGGTCGGTGCGTCCCAAAGCCAAAATCATCATCATCTCTGTCAGCACGTGGTGTACGTAGGGGGGGGGGGGGGGATCGGCACGTTTGGTCACCATTCTGATAGACGGCTACACGCTTTGGGATCCCATGTACTTTTGGGATCAGAGGGCCGCACTAGATGTATAATTAAATACTAGGGATAATGTAGGAAGCCATAATTTGTCCTACATGTTTCTGCTAGATTCGAGCCCAAACTGCAAAACCTTCGCAAGGTGAATATCAGGACGGTGCCATATGGCGCATCGAGAAGGCACAAGTACGCACGCCGGAAGGCAGACAAATCCTGCGCCCAGAATTGGTCCCCAGCGCCGCGCTTCACCCTGCCGCGATTCCTCGACCCACGCCACAGTCCTCGCGGCGCGGCGGCCGCGGCCGCGGGACTGCCGGGCTCACCGTGCTGGCGGCCTGCAGCCGGCTCAGGTCGGCGGCCGTCTCCAGCCGCACCAGCGGCCGCAGCGCTCGCTCCACGAACCGCACCATGCGCGCCGCCTCCAGAGGGCCCGAATACTGCAGACCTGCCGGCCGAGACCGACCCCAGCTGAGCATTACCTGTCGCGGGCTGGCGACCACCGGCCGGGCACGGGGACCACTGGCCAGAGCTGGGAGATGCCGAAGAGAATTAGAAATTACCAAATAAAGTTGGGAGATAGCCAACAGTGTTGAGAAACACCAGCCACGGTTGCGAAATGATAATAAACAGTTGGGACTCGGGAGCTATCCGTGAAAGTTGAGATCTAGGCCTAAGTTGGGAGACAGCAGCTCGATTTTCGGAGACACCGAACGGATTTGGGAACCACCTGTGATGGGGACCGCTGAGTCGCGGTCGGGTCCCCGCTATGCAGGCGGGTTGGCGGAGCGGGAGTTGAGGACCACTGGTGGCCGCACAACAGCGCGGCTGGTGCTGAACAGTGCGGGCTAATGATGACTATAAACCATGGTCTGCGCCTGGCACCAAGCCACGTCAAACATCGCGACCCTGATACTGCAGACAGTTGCCAGGCCGTTGCAAACGGGAAGAAAATGACTGGACGAAAATTCAGCCTTTGGGCGTGCTGCTCGCGGCGCTCACCCGTACAGAGCACGGAAACATAGACACCCAAACACAGACAAATAACAAATACGCCAAATAACAACACTGCCAGCATGATCTAACACAGAGTCCTAGGCGACCAACACGTGGTTTATGTTTCTGCTACGGTACCCGCGGCTCTCTCCACAATCCCACGGCTCTCCTGTTGGTCGGCGTCATCAGCATCACAGGGAGATGCTACACTCACATAGATCGATGGACAGATCGATACCAATAGCCAACAGAAGTGGAGGGTAGTTACACTGGTATTGAAATATCTGCCACATCGCAATACACGTGTGAAATTGCGGGCTTGTTAACGAAACAGACCATGTTTCACAAATGCAATGATTTTTTTAAAGATCATTATCTTTCTTTCCAACGCCCGCGCGAGTACAGCACAGATATTTCACAGCCCACCGAGCGAGGCTCCACTGCTCGGAGCTCCCGCCGCACAGCCCTAGGGACGGTCGCTCCGCTCCGTCCGGGCTCTGGCAGAGACCCCAGCGCTGCGCGTGCTGGGAGTCCGGGGGCGGCGGCGCTCACCCCGGCCGTGGCGCAGGTACAGCACCAGCAGCGGGTACGCGGTCACCTTCTTCACGTCCTTGCGGCAGGAGCCGGACACGTGCCAGCAGTTGACGGCCAGCACGTCCACCTGCGGATGCGGAGCCGCAGTGACAGAGCTGACACTCGGATCATAGATTTGGATTACCTTAGAACCCTTGATGTCTAAAAATCAGGAGCTGAAGATCTTTCTTCCTCATACCATGTTTTGAGATTGGTCATGCGTTAGATACATCATGATTTTCTGGGCGGAAATGTGCAACGCGTTTACTTGCAGTTCAAGAACGGGAATGGCTATTCAGGGCCTTAGCATTGCACACCCTCCCTAAGACAACAAATCGCGAAAACAAGGAATGTAGAACCAAACATGGTGTTCGGCACGAGACGTTCAAAACTTGATGTCGCCGTTCTAATTTTAACGCAACGACTACAGACGAACTCTTGGCAGTGTATGGTTCCCGCCTAACCACATAACACAACCCCCAATTCGCAGCGTTTCACGCGACACTAATCAGAGCCACCTCACTCCGTTCAGGACGTCCAACATACCTTTCCATTAACATGCCCCACCCAACAGCCCCCACCCGCCTCCGCGCGTGCCACCGTCAGCCCGCTCTCCCCCGCGGGCGCACCTGGTCGGCCGTGGCGCGCGCCAGCCGCTCCAGCTGCGGCCTGGCCGTGCGGCACGCGTGGTCCCAGGGCGCGTAGAAGAAGAGCAGCGTGGCGTGGCGGCCGGCGGCGCGCCGCAGCGCCGCCGTCAGATCGCCGGTGAAGTAGTCCGTCACCGCCGAGGCCGGCCCGAAGAACGGCACCGCCGGCTGGGCCGGCACCACCGGCAGCAGCAGCGGGCTGCGACCAGGGGAGGGGGCGGGGGTCACGGACCGGAGCCGCTCCGAGACGGCGCCGGCCGGACTTTGACTGCGGCGATAGCCGGGAGCATCACGACTGCGGGCCGGTGTTCCGACTCGCAGTTGTGGCGCGCGGCTGTGGTGCAGATTTTCTCCAGGCATGGCGTGTGTCACTGAAGGATGGATTCCAGCCGGTTCTTTCATTACAATTGTCGGCAATGTTACCTGCAGCCGCATGCATTCCGATATGATGTGGTATCCAGTGGCGGCGCACGGCGGCTAGGCTTCCGTCTCCGTAGTCCGATTTACCCAAGAGCATTGTTTATCGACATGCCCACGGCGCTATGCACGAGATTGACACCGAGATGATGGACTTCACACCGGACAGCATTCCGGGCATTCTCAAGCCGTGACTCGGTACTGCACACATCCGAAGTCGTGACCTAGTACTGCACACATCGGAAGCCATGACTTAGTATTGCACACATCCGAAGACGTGACATAGTACTGCATACATCCGAAGTCGTGACTCGGTACTGCACACATCCGAAGTCGTGACTTAGTACTGCACACATCGGAAGCCATGACTTAGTATTGCACACATCCGAAGACGTGACATAGTACTGCACACATCGGAAGCCATGACTTAGTATTGCACACATCCGAAGTCGTGACCTAGTACTGCACACATCGGAAGCCATGACTTAGTATTGCACACATCCGAAGACGTGGCATGGTACTGCACACATCGGAAGCCATGACTTAGTACTGCACACATCGGAAGCCATGACTCAGCACTGCACACATTCCTAAGCCGTGACCTTACACTGTCCGCACGTCGCGGCAAAGACTGGTCCCAGCGCCATCTCGACCCCCGCCAGCAGCGGCACGGCCCAATGACACGACAGGCAGCGGCCAGCACCTCACGCAGCGCCCCTGCCGGAGGCGCGCGGCGCACACCGAGCCGGCGCGGCCGGACCACGCCCGCACTCACCCCCTGCTGACGGCGGCGTACACGGTGAAGGCGCAGCCCATGACGAAGCAGAGGCGAGCGCCGATCGCGCCGCGGCGGCCGCTCATGTCGGCGGCGGGGGCCTGGAGGCGGCGGCGCCGGTCCGCCCTGCCATCGGCCGCCGCCGCGCTACTGCCGCCCATCGTCCATGGTCAGCGCGCGCCGGCGCCGGCCCTGCCGCCGGGCAACGCGCTGGGTCAGGGGCGGGCGGCGCCACCACTGGAGCGCGGCACGAGCGCACGGGGCCGACAACGTACGCGGGGCCGTTAGCGCCGCGTTCCCCAGTGCCAAACGCCGTTCACAAGCTGCAGCCTGTGACGTCACTGTGGTGTGCGTCACGACAGTTCCTGCGCCTTAGAGTGCAGCGGATTGTGTGTGACGAAATAGGCAGAGCCCTGGTGACGGCAGCGCATGTGGCTCAAGCGGCGGTGCTTTGAGATTAGAAGATTGCGAGCTCATGTCCCGTTGCTGAAGGTGTGATCTCATCACAGCCAGGGCAGTCAGCTCAGGTTCTCAATACATCATACAAGCACGCCACAAAAACCAGCCGCTCTATGGCGAGAAAGCATAGATCGGGAACGCCGTGAAACTCTGCCTCCACATAAGCAGATTACTGCTTACTCCTAGGTCCTGTCAGGTACGTAACGCCATGGCAATTCCCGAGAGACATAGCCCGATTTACATCTCCTTGGGGGAAAACAACTAGAAAAAAACAAATCGCGTGCACAGCGCATGGCTTCCGTCTACCCCGTCGCTTTCTCACTCATGTGTAGCGTATAACCAGCGAGCTGTGCAGAGCACCAACACTGGCTGGGCAGTGTCTGTGTTCGACCCCGCCTCACCCCCTGCGCTGGAGCCGGCCCTGCGCGACCGCCGGAGGGGGCCACGTGACCTGGCCTGATCCGGCCGGCCCGTGAGGCCCGCAGCGGTAGTGTCCAATGCCCGCATCAGTCCGAGCGCCCGCACTACTGGTGTTCCTTCCACCGATTGTTTAACCCCGCTAATGCGGTTGATATAATCACAACCAGGAAGTTTACCGTTTAGGTCGGTTATTTGTCCAACCCTGTTAATGCACTTGATGTAACCCTGTTGGGGAAGCATTATTGTTTTGCCGATACCGAAACAGTGTCTTGTGTGGTCAGCGTTATCAGACCCGACCTGCTCGCTCCAGCGTTATTTCCAGTACCCACGCGCTGTGTGACAAGCGCCTCTTGCTCTGCCTCAGCGGAACGGCCCAGCGGTTAGCGCGTCGAACTCCCACGCAGAGGGTGGGGGGGGGGGGGGGGGGGGTCGAATTCGGTTGCGCCATGGCTCCTAAGCGCTCATGTGGCCTATGCAGCCGTTGGCGCTTCGTAGAAGGGCGCGATCACATGCGTCAATTCCCCTAAAATAAACAAAAAACTTCCACTGGACTTCCGCCGGGGGCAACTGTGCCCCCGGCGGTATGGATGGGATGCATACACTATCTGCACAAGAAGCTTGTACCTCCACTGACCTCCTCTAACTGGGCCCCTTTTCGCGACTATATACGGCTGGTTCACGACCCACTGAGCAGCTTATTCCATGTGATGTTGCATGCCATACGCATCAACCTGGCAGGAAGAGCGCGAACTACGGGGATCGGAAGTTCCGATACCCGTGGTGGGTTCCCATTCGGAACCCACTCCTCGTGTCCCAGACGCGTAGTGAAACCACTTGCACCAACATGATTTATATAGGGAATCACTTAGCTTGTCCTATTTCCCTGAGCCATGCCATCATGCCTGAATTTTCAGGGTACCATTTCCACAAATATCGATCTGGTCTTGATAACACTTAACATGCGCTCGGGTCGGGGTCAATTTGACCACCAAAGGTATTTCCGCAATGTTTTTCAAATGCCGCGGCGCAACCGTGCCAACTTTTGTATAGCTGTAAACAGTTGAATAGAGGATCGTTTGGTACCTCAAATGTAAATAAACTTTGTAAGGTCGTTGGCCTACAGCAGGTCAGTCAGGCTACGGATTCAGCGAAATCCACTTCTAGGGAATCGTTCAACCTGATGTAACAACGGAGCATTAGACGTAGTTACACATGCCTGATATACTTTATAAAGCAACAAAACAATTGAACAAATCAACTCCATTGAACTAGGGTCAGGTGTAAAGGTCATGCCAAGGTCAACCAATCTGTTTTTTTACTCTAGGGCTTGCTGTATGAGGCAGTTTCTGGCACCCACTTCAAATTTAGTGATAACATGGGCCCCATTGTACATCTTCCAAGGGCTTCTTAAAGGTCAGAATAGGTTACTGACCTAAAATAACCCAGATCAACATTTTGCAAAAACTCAAAGCAGTCTCACATGACTTTGGTTACCATGACCATCAAAAAGCAAAACATATTTACTGACCTTAAATAGCATGTGAGCTTCTGCTTACCACAAATATCTAGGTTCTTATGGCACTTTGAAGACCAGCTTGAAGTTTGACCTTGACTTGTTTGGTCCCAAGGTCATGACCTATGTACCTCAACCTTTGGCCTAAATGAGTTCAGGTACAAACCCACATGCCCTGTAAATTTGGTGTCTTAAGCTTTCTTAGTTCCTGAGATCTCAGGTGGGGAGGGTCAAAATGACCCCCCCCCCCCCCCCCCCTCCCCCACTTGAGCAGGAGTATTCTATCCAACAAGCAGCCTGGGTGTATGCTAACAATCAATACAATAACCTCCAGCCAATACTGGAACAAGGGGAATTTTTGGCAAGTGGTTGACTCCAGTCGTGGTTGTGCTGCACATGGTCATTATCAGCATCAGCCTATGGTGCCCTGTAAGCAGTCACAATCAATATTGCTTGATTCAAATTAAGTACAAGTCTGGGCATATTTAATAAAAGTAACCCATTGCATCTTGCAGAATCCATGTTCTGCAGGGATGGATGGATTCATACATTTCCACAGTGCAGAAGTTTCAATGCCTCTATTTTTAGTGCTCTCCACCAAATGAAATCCCCAGTGTAGATGAATATAAGGTTTTTGTGAGCATAACATGCTCAAGGACATACTCATTTTTGGGCATGGAATAATGACAAAGTTAAAAAAAATATGTGTAAGTTGCAAAATTTTTGCGTTGTGTTTATGTCACCACATAATTTCCAAAAAAAATTGGTTTCAGGCTTTGGCTCATGCTTAACAAGGGGAAAAACAAATTTAAGATGCAATACAATTTGCATTTCAAACTGCACTGACCCTTAAGTAGTTCAATAGGGCATTGCCACCACACTAGAGGTTGCCACAAAAGAGGATCCAACAGTCTATGTTCTAATTGTGTGCACCTGTCCTTCATTGCAGAAAAGCAGCCATTGGGCAATCACGTCACTGGAACTTTACATTCACTTACAATGCCTGTGTCTATTCCAATGCCTCACTATGAGATCTTATGTCATATGCAAATGTGATACACCCTGGTAGTCTGGACATGTCAGCCAGATATTTTTTAGGACACCTGAACACACCAAGATGGGAACCAGCAGCCTAATCAGGGATGTTATGCAACTTTGATACAGACTGACAAATGGTAAAGACATGCAAGACAAAGGAGATAAATGTTATAAGAGCCAATACAAAAGCTATAGGATGTTGCCATGTGATACAATCTCAGCCTCACATTGAGCATGAGACATCAAGTTGGTGTTACATGGGTTATCCTGGTCCGAAGCTGGTTAATCACACAAAGGCATAATATGGGGCAGTCAGGACTTCTGGCAGGTGACGGATGGAATGTGTTGCAGTTTGGTCTAACATTATGGTGTGGTATGCTGTACTTTGCTCTAGCATAGATGGTAGCTGTTCTAGTTTGGTCTAACATCTACCACCCTTGCATGAGGCTGACAGTGTCAAACCCTGGTGAGAACATATCACTGGTGTAACAAGTGGTGTGAAATGCAGTCCTCTATGTGATGTTGAGCCACCTTTAAGCCAGACCATAAAACTACATGCTATAATGAACATGTCTGGCATAGCAGGAACATGATACTGGCAATGTCAGCTTACTTAAGCTATAAATCCAAAACCTCTAAGCTCAACCCAAGTTTGGTGTACAGCCACCAATAATTGATCTGCATGAATAACTAATGCTTTAAGACATCATGATGCTGCCAACATAAATGAAAGCAGGAAATGATCATAACACTTTCTCAACTACATAATTTTAAATTTAAATGTAAATTTTGACCCAAGTCCACATCACACATCCTCCAGGTTCAATGCCAGAGTTTGAAAAATCATCCACAACCAGTGTGCATGTGGCAATTGCGAGCTATGCCTTGAGCTCATGTACACTAACTCAGCCCCAGCTAAATGCTAAGCACTGTCAAACTATGTTAAAATCAAAAATACTTTCACAGCATCTTAGCTCAAATTTACCATTGAAATATAACTTATTGAAACACAACACCCTACAGGTATACATGGATGGTGAATGTGTCAAGATCTGAACACTAATTTAGCATGCACATGCACTACAATTGTTGACACAATGGTATTGCTATATCTGGTATAATGGTATGCAAGAGACTCCTGTCAGAACAAATTACCTCAAACAGTCCATAAAAATTGTTGTAATTGTCACCAGAAAGACATATACCGGTCAGAACACACGTAAGCCGGTACTAGATACAATCTGGCCTGCTTAACACGCCATTCGTATCGTGTAAGAAGCCAACAGACCCGGCTTAAGCCCACACTACACTCAACCCCACCTTACCCTAACTTCGCGGACTGCGGACAATGGGCAACCCAGAAGGATGTTTGCCAATCATTGAACGCTAAAGAGATGTAGAAAATATATTTAGACTAATGCGAAATCCGGTAAAACAACTGAATCCAAAACGCCCACATCAATAACCAATCCATAAATGCCAGCATCTGTAGCCAATCAGCGCATTTGCCCCCACCATGAGTACAAATATGACGCGTGTTTGCGCCACGCTGTCAAGGTTGTAAAGACAGTCAGCTGATTACATGACGTGTGTTGTTGGTCGTAATAGCACGTAGCATTTGAACTGAAAAATCCTGCATTTACTCATCGTATCAGTTCCATTTCCGCACAGCGTTGCAATGAATCAGGTTGATAGCAGATGTTGTGTAAAAGAAACGGAAAAATTATATTGGCCTATTTATTTCTTCCCTATCCTTGAACCGCATGTACACAAGTTAACCTACAGCAAGAAACAAAACAAAACAAAACATAAACGAACCGTGCGGGACAGGACGAAACCCAATGAAACCAGGCGGGACCAAACGGGACCAGCCAGAGCCGAAAGGAGTGAAATGCGATAGGGCGGGAAAAGACGGGTCTAGGGGGCTAAACGCGATCGGACGGGACAGGCCTCGTCTGCGCGGGAAAAGACGAGACTGAACGGAACCGGACATGGTGTGGACAAGGGTCTGTCCAGGCCAAGACCGGACATGCCCGGGTGCTTCCGTCTTGTTCCATTCAGCTTCTTCCAGTCTCATCCAGTCCCACCCGGTACTGGCTGGTTTGGTCTGTCTGATCTTGTTCGATCCCATCCACTCCTGCTCGGCCTCATTCAGCCCCGTCCAACCCCATCCCGTCCGTCCATTCCCGTCTGGTTCCGTCCGATCATGTCCGCTGCTGGTCCATGCACATCGACCTCGTCTTCTCCGATGTGGTTCAGTTATGCGCCGTCCGGTGCTGTCTGATCCCGTCTGGTCCCGTCCGGTTCCGTCCGGTTCTCTCCGGAGTTGTCTGGTCCTGCCCTGTCACTTAGGTGCAGTGTAGTCTCGCTCGGCTCCTCTTAGTCCCGCCTGAACCCGCGTGCTCACGGCCACTCTCGTCTGATACCGCTCGATCCCGTTCGGCTCCTTTCGGCACCACTCGGTCCCGTCCGGTCCCACTCGGTCCCGTCCGGTCGCATCCAGTTCCGCAAGGTCCCGGACGCTTTGCGACGCTGTCTAGACTCGTCCAGTCCTGCCCGCTTCCTTCTGGTTTCTTTTGAAGTCCTCCGGTTCCGTGCGGTTCCGTCTGGTCCCGCCTAGTCCAGCTGTTCCGGTGTGGTCCTGTCTTGTCCCGTCCCATCCCGTTTATTCCAGTCCGGTGCCCATTTGGTCTTGTCTGGCCTCGTTATTCCCGTCTCGTACTTAACTGATCGCACCCCTGTGTGCAAGTAACAGTTTGGTATGGAATTCCTCAAGTCGGCACAGAACGCCCAGTTCTGATTCAAAATACTCCACATGATGCTTCCTTTTCAAAAAGTTCATATTCACTGGTTTCACGTCGCGCCGCTCAATCACTCGCACCACACGATCTTCGAAAAGGCTTTCGAAGCCCGTTTGCGTATTGTTCGCGAACAAAATTGAATACAACCAAATACTCATGAATATTTACCTCCGCGTACTACAGGCACGCAACTTTAGCGTATACCCTAAGCCCGCACACTCAGGGCACATTCAACCAACAGCGGTCGACGACTCCGACCTATCGCCTCTGAGATCTTTTCCACACAGATGCGCGGGAGACCTTTCAGGACTCCGCCTGGGAGCGGCATCCCGACTCTAGTCCGCGCTAGCGGCGCCCTGAAGGTAAACAACTGAGATTCAGCACCGAGTGGCGGTGCCCACTGGTCGCCGTCGTAACCGACAAAGCCAAGCTAACACTGCGGCAACAGGCTAGCATGGGTGTGCAACAGGCATAGCATGGGTGTGTCTTCAAACGAGTGAATCTCTTGGAATCAACTGAGACAAAGTTTTTCCTTGAAATATGAATTAATAATAAACTTCCGAGCCTGTCGCACCACACCAATGTCCATATTCTCGCCGCGAGAGCAGCTTTTCTTCGATAGGCCAATATATTCATAATCGATACTAGCGCCACCTGCTTTAGGCGCTGGGATCACCCTCCAACAAGCCTCAATCTTGTTACTTTCCAAACTATTGACACCTGGTTGTTTATGCATGAAAAAGAACATCAGCAAAACATTGCCAAATATACATTAAGCTGACCTTTTAGTAAAAATACATATTTTCTTCTGTAAAACCCAACACTTGCGATTATGAGAGGCTCCAGCAGACCAGGGTAGGTTCAAGGCTGCTATTGCTTAAGTATCATTGTGATGTTGATTTGCAGATTATCTTCAAGATTTTCAAGACTGCGAAGGCAGAAGTCTAGGAACTGTGGACTAACGAGAAGATCCTTGTCGATGATCCACAGTATGTGACAAAAGTGGCCAAGAGGTATTGATATGATCCATACAGAGCTATTAGCAAGAAATCAAAGAAATAAAAAGAGGGACACAACAACGCCGCCACCGTGCAAGGCAGCACGCCTCCTGATGTCGCGAAATGCGAGTGCAAGTTCCGGCGCAGCTCCACGTACCCAAATGCCTATGCAGTGCAGCAAGAGGAGCTTGCCTTCTTGAAGGACCGGTGCAGGCACCGGAAGCTAATCCTGGGCTCATATAACCGGGCTACGACCGTGACTAGGGAGGCTCGCGAGGTGCGGAGGATGGCCAGACGACTCCAGGGGCGTCGTGGCTTGGCTGCCAGTGAAGCGCTGTCCGTTGCTGAGCCTGAGTCACCTCCCCTTCCCCCCCCCCCCCCCCCATCCGGCTGCTAGTACTGAACTCCAGCCCGCGCCGAGGCCAAGTGCTCTGCGCTGGAGAGTCATCGAGAGCACGGATTCTGACACGGGTCCGTGCATGGTGGGAGGAGGCAACAACTCCGATTGCCCGTTCCTGGTGAGATCGCTGCCACTGCAGTTGGTAACGTTAACGATCTGACTAACATCGCTCCGACAGTTGGCAACCACGGTGGTTCGAACCGGATCGCTGCTGCTATCACCAACGCCTTCCATCAAGACAGCACAGGCGGACTGGCTGCTTTAAATTAAATGTCATAGATTCCAAGAAGATTTGGCGCACAAGAGACAGAGCGAGAAAAGAAACGGCTCATCAAAATGCTGAATCGATCCATGAGTCAGGTTTGGCCATCCTCTACTTCGACGACCGCGAAGACAGAACCTGTATGAGCCTCACACATCCACGCGAATGCCGTCGAAAAACACGCGGTTGTCATCGCTGAGCCCGGCAGCCGCTACGTAACTGACTTCACGTACCAAGTCCGGCCGCACCCTGTACTTGCTTGATGAGCTACACTGTGTGAGCCTGCAGTGCGACGGTCACGTCAATGTGCCCGGCCGCGATGGCCCGACCGTTGACACCGGGACAACAGACGACGTGTTCCGGCTGTTTGAACTGGCCATCGAGTCACCAGTGCGCTGGTTCATCTGCCGGCTGCACGGCGACGAGATGAACCCCCGCCATCTGTTGCTGGGCTTGGACGGCACGACCGCGGGATCGATTTTTTCTGAACCCATCGGCAAGACTCGCACCGGAGAGATCTGAGAGAGGGACGTTGTGGCATTCAAGCTATGTCGGGCACGTGCCAAACCTGCCGGTTGACCTGATTCAGCAGCTGAGCACCAAGTAGCAGCTGCTGTGGCTTCGGGCCTACGGGGGTCAAAACGGCTCTGTCCGAACCGCGACAGCCCGGCGGCGAACCGGGCCATTGAAGCATCCCAGGTAAACATGAAAACGCATTATCTTCAAATTTATAGCAACGAATGCATAAACTTTATCACGCATCATTTGGTGTTTCATGTGCTTACTGTTGGGCATTTCTCATTATCATACGCTGTGCCATAGCATGTCGAATCATTTGCTCGTTGGCTCATGCTTACCAGTATACATGCTGATAGGTATTCCGTTACATTTCAGGACTCTAAATATGGGCATACTTACATACATTAAAGAGGCGAAACAATTCTCCTATGACCCAATGGTCCAGTCGTAACGTATTGTTCTAATCTGTCCGCTATTGTTTTCAGAAAGTTGGCAGCCCCTTCAAATGCGTTCGCCGCATGTGGTCGTAACAGCAGGTCACGGCAAGGCGGCCGCCACCGTCGCCACCGCCACCACATCATTCCCTCCGCCCGCTGTCCGGATGCAGGACAGTCCTTCGAAAGAGGGCAGACCGGAGGGCGGGCCGCTTGACCAGCGCTCGGCGCTCCCACTCGACATCTGGGCCCGTGTATCGAATACGGAGGCTCGGCCAGGAGCAACATGTGCATGGGATCACCCCCCCCCCCCCCTCCACGCTCTCGTTGGAGGTCGCAGATCTTGCCACATGTACTAAGTTGTACACCAGACAATACATTTTGACTCATTTGCTACGCATGGTTTGTTTGCAGCACGTGATTTGTCTTAAGGAAGTGAAAGCCTGAAGCAGTAATAACCAACGTACTCGTACGAGTTCATACGCAACAACATATAGTTTCTGCCACATGGCAACAAGCCGGGCAATGCCTGACTCGCATATCATACCTTAGATCGAGACGTTTTCGTACGACGGCTTAAGGAGCGCTCGGTAGCATCGTTTCCATGCGCGAAGCTCTTTTACACCGCTTGCCGCCCGTGGTTGGGCGTTACCTACGACAGCCGATGCCGCCCAGCACACAGTAGATGCAACGCCGGGCGTCGATTGACAGATATGCTCTGATCGGCTCACGCGTCACGAATTTAAGTTTTTAGGAAGAACTTTTGCTATGCCGTGTATTTTTGAGCTCCGGTGCAAAAAATCTTCGTCCCACTTGCTTTTAATACTGACGACACACCCTAAATTGAACACAGTATTTTTTATTTCACGGAGTAGCAAATGCGGAGCTGTGGCCACAATACCCAGAAGCATGCGCGGGCGTCGAATTGCAAACGGAGCCGTAAGAATGGCGCTCTTCCCAAAACGCAGAACGGCAATACGAGAACGTCACAGCGACGATGAGTGGCTCGCACGCCACATGAGGTTTAATGCTCACGAAGGCGGACGGTGTTCGCGGACTGCAGCACAGGTGAATCTCCTTACCGCCCGTTACATGCTCGTGTCACGAAGCAACGTGGCAAAACACAGGCGTGGGGCCTTCAACGCGCGCGCGGGGCCATCAAATACTGAGAGGCGGTAATAAGTAGCATTAACAGCAGCGTGCTGTCGAGACCTTGACGTGCAAAAACATATCGCCTCAACGCAGCGCCGGCTAAAATATTTCTCTACAACAGCTGCCACAATCCGGGCCACTAATGGCGCACCAGCATCAATCAGTTCACGTACGAAACACTGCTCCTGACACCATTCCGAAAAACTACGCAACTCGCGCAGCGCGCTTTAAAACTGTGGCACATTTCCTTGCTGAGTTACATCCTCCAATGTTCCAAAGTTTCTTCAAAATACATACATAGATGTAAGGAGCGAGATGGCGTAAGGCGCGCCAACAGCATGCAGTGCGTCGCTGGCACCATCGATTTAACATCCTTCCAATAATTCCTTTCGCGCGATCACTACAGACAAGCGACGACTCCCGGCTCTACACCAAGCCCCGTCTCCCAGCTTCCGGGCTATTGCTAACTGAGCATCGCCCGGTAGCATTTGGGGCTGGCACACCCTAACAACAGATTAACAAACAATTAACACAAGCTGGCGCGAGAGATGCCAAACAAAGCCGGCATAACATAAAGGTGCAGACACCAGGTTGCTGCATGGCATACGGCTGCGCTGTAACATCACGGCTAACGTCCGTGAGGCCGTACGTCATACTGGCACGCTGAGAGCCGCGGGGTGAGACAGTGACTTTCTGCTGGAGATGTTCTCCAACCATGGTGCGCAGCCCGCTCTTTCAGACTGTTGTTGACAACGGGACGTCGTCCGCAGCTAGAGTATAGAAGTACCAGCGTTCGGTTCTAATCTAGGAGTGGCGCGATGTAAACAATTAAGTGGTCGGTTCTTAACTACGAGTGCCACAACAAACGAGAGCGCATGGGCGCGCCCAACCCGTTTAAAGTAATACAGAACGCTCGCGGCTGCAGCGTATTAGCCTAGCCAAGCCATGCACCTCATCCATTCCCCATCCAAACAAGCCACCCACGCTGCTTGTTCGCAAGCGTCCTTATCACATCCCGTCTCAGGCATGACACACATCTCCATGCCGCCGAGTGCCCGGCTCTGCACGCTCCATGCCGCCGAGTGTCCGACCCTGCACGCCCTACGCCGCCGAGTGTCCGGTCCTGCACGCTCCACGCCGCGAAAAGCCGACCCCACAATCCACAACAAAAACTTTGAACTAATCATACGCTTTCAACGCAGGGTCCGCCTTGAAGCCGTCAGGTCTGCTACCGCGGCTGACACCACAGTGCGTCGTATACGCTTACAGCGACACGATTGTAGCTCCACCCGACACGAAAACACGGAAACAAATTATAAGGAACCAGACACGTGCCTGGACTACGAAGCGGACGCCAGAGCACGTGAGGTCCAGCATAGGCGGACCTCACGCGATCCGGGATCAGCCCTGGAGCCCAGGCTGTTGAGTCCAGGCTGTGGAGTCCAGGCTGTGGAGTCCAGGATGTAGTGTCCGGGCTGCAGAGTACAAGCCGTAGAGTCCAGGCTGGAGACTCCAGGCTATTTAGTCCGGGCTGTGGAGTCCAAGCTACAGAGTTCGGGCTGCAGAGTCCGGGCTGTAGAGTCCAAGTTACAGAGTTCGGGCTGCAGAGTTCGGGCTGTAGAGTCTAGGCTATAGAGTCCAGGCTGTAGAGTCCAGGCTCCAGAGTACGGGCTGTAGAGTCCAAGCTGCTGGGTCCGGGCTATAGAGTTCAGGTAGGCAGGCTGTAAGGTCTGCCGCCTGCTGACGAGTACCGTCACCTGCCCGGCCCGCCCGCTGCTCGTGTGTGGGGCGACGGGCGTGGCTACGGTGCTCTGCCGGAAGCCACGCCAGTGCCCGCCCTCCGGTCGCGTGGGTCCCCGCCGGCGAAATGCGCACTGGCCGGCTCCTCACAAATCAGTGTCCCAACGCTCAGTCTGGAGTTCGTCTGGCTTCGGTGGCGCCGGCAGACCGCAAGCCGCAGATAGAATACAGGCGACGCGAAGCCGAGAGCGCCTGTTGTCTCTGAGCGGGAAGTGGCCGCTGTTTCCGTTCACCACCGTGTCATGCGCAGAGAAGCACGATTGTAAGCTGTCCAGCCCCCTGCGGTGGCGCGCGGGCTGCAAGTCCCAATGATACCCCCCACCCCCCACCCCCCCACCCTTCCCGCCAAAGGTCGCGATGGGTTGGCGGGCTTTTTGTCTAGAGATTCAATGCTCCAGGCTCCGACGAGCACGGGCCCGAGAATTTGGGACTCCGAGGACTTCAGGCACCGAGGACTCGTACGTCTGGCCTCTAGGCTGCGAGGACTCCACGTTTTCGGAGCTACACCCCTAGGACTTCATGCTTCAGGCTCAAAGCCCGAAAAAAAACGGTGCTCTCCGTTTGTAACATTCTGCAGTTGCGAGACTCCGACCGCTCAGGTCCCCAGGCTCTAAGCTTCGAGGACACCAGCAAACCCGCTGTAAACGAGCAGCAGCAGAAGCGACAGCAGCGGCAGCAGCTTCTCCTGCACCGACCCGCTACTCGCGCTCGAGAACAGCAGTTTTCCGACCTGCTTGCAGTTCCACTGGAACACGCGGACGTTGTCGACGCCCACGCTCGTGCCGCCCCCCTCCGTGATGGCCTCGAACGTCAGCCGGTTGCCGCCAGGCGGCAGCGTCAGCGTCGCCGTCGTCCAGTCCGTCCTGCTCTTGGTCTGCCACAGGACCACCTCATCGTCGTCGATGACGGTTAGCGTGGCGTTACCGCCGGCGCCGCCGCCGAGGCGCACGTCGACCGCCACGCAGCCCTCGGCCGGCACGAACATGCAGGGGGTCTCCAGGCGCGCCACCCTGACGGCGTCCGTCGCCGCTGCCGCGGACCTCGGCCGCGTAGCCTCGGCCAGCCGCGCTCACGCGCTCCCAGCCGGACGAGCGGCCCGACAGGGTGAGCGTCGGCGCGTGCCGGTAGTCGCACCAGCCGGCGTCGAAGTCGCAGCTGTGCACGTACGCCGCCGCAATGGTCACCTGTGTCGTGATGGGCACGCAAGTCGGCACGTTCTGCCACCTGGCGCCGTCGCAGGTAGCGAAGGCGTTGGCCTTCTTGTCGGCCTTCGTGTCAGCATTCTTGATGAAGTAGCCGACGTCACAGCGGTAGAAGGCCTTGCCGTGCGGTGACAAGTCGCTGGTGAAGAGCAAGTGACCGTTGGCCACCGTCGGCGGCGGCTTGCACTCCCGCACCTCCATGCAGTTGAGGCTCACGCTGTCGAAGCGGCAGCGGCAGAGGTACGCCGCCGGGTCGTCGGGCGCCGGCAGGCACGTGCCGCCGTTCTTGCACGGGTTCGTCGCGCACGGGTCGCCGCCCTCGCCGCCGGGCGCTGGGATAGGCTCGCACTGGACGCTCCTGCCGGGCGCGTCCGTCTCCTGGCCAGCGGCGTCGACGGCGCGCCAGCCGCGCACGAACTCCAGCCGCTCCGCCGGCGTCGACGACACGAGGCTGCCCTGCCCCGGCAGGACGCTGGTCAGCCGCCAGCGGCCGTCGGCGCCCACAGACAGCTTCTCCGTGAGCGAGGTGTACTGGCGCCGACCGTTGACGTAGGTCGACGACGGTGTCAGCACGTCGAACGAGTCGCCGCCCGCCGGCCCTGTCACGCGCCACCGGTCCGTCGAGCACTGGCCAAAGTGTTTCGGCACGCAGCTGACGTTGAGCGTCGCCAGCGGCGAGCGGCCCTCGTCGCAGTCGCGCACGAGCCACGCGCCGGCGCCGGCGCTCCAAGGCTCGTCCTCGAACTCACCCGTGGCCAGGATGTTGCCCGACTCCGGCCACGCCTCGTAGGCGTGCTGCACGCGCTCCGGCTTCTTGTCGTCGGGCAGGGTGGCGACGACCCAGCGCTTGACGGCGGCCGCGGTGGGCTCCCGCAGCAGGAACTGGTCAGGCCGTCCGATGTGCCGGTACGCCACCAGCGACACGTTGTTCGGCTCAAGTACGTACGTGCCCAGAGCGGAAATCACCTGCAGCTGGTACGGCGAGGTGGTGGCTGGATTCAGGTCGCCGAAGTAGAGCGTGTCGGAGTCACACGTGCCTGAAACGGGCCGCCGGGTGTGAGAGTGGCGCTGCCCGACCGTTGGGACGGCAGGGACATGGGGCAGAACCGATGGCAACGGCATTGCTGGAACATATAAATCAATACAAAGATATATAAATACATATACACATACATACATCCCCGTATATATATATATATATATATATATATATATATATATATATATATATATATTATACCACTATCCACACACGTGTTACGTGACACACACACACACACACACACATATATATATATATATATATATATATATATATATATATATATATATATATATATTATACCACTATCCACACACGTGTTACGTGACACACACACACACACACACACACACACACACACACACACACACATATATATATATATATATATTATACCACTATCCACACACGTGTTACGTGACACCACACACACACACACATATATATATATATAATATATATATATATATATATATAGATAGATAGATAGATAAATAGATATATAGATATATAAATATATACATTCAATCATATATCCTGATCTCAATGATGAGAATGTCCTGTCCACTGATGCGCGGGCCGACGCAGACTTGGGTCCCACTCGGACGCCGCGATATTTCACGCCGTCATTGCCGAGGACATTTTCGGGAACGGAAGCTGCCGGCTCACACCGCGGTTGCGGACAGCTATAGCCGCGCTCAGCACTGTTACGGCGAGAGTGAGCGCGAGCATCCGCGAATCAGGGGTCATTGCCAGCGTTTATCTATGCCGTGTCCATGCCGTGTGATTTCCACTGGGAATGAAACATTCGCTTACTGGGGGCCTCGGGCACGGTGGCCGGATCCCGACGTAACAGCACGTCCGCAGCAAGTAAAATGACCTCGCCAAAAGTCCTGCGGAGACATGAGCGACCTTGACTGGGGTCCGTGCCAGAACCGGCAGCGCACGTCAGTAAACACGCTCCGGCACGGCACGACGAATGACACCAGTCATGGTGGAAATTCGCCGAGCCGGACGAGGGTCAGAGATTTTACTGAAGGTCGGCTCCACCCGACTCGTATTACTTTACGGGGCCTTGAGGTATTCCAGCGACAATAAACCACAAGGTTTTCCGATCTGGTCTGACTTTGATGGACTGATGGAACTCTATGTGCTGGGCTGAACTTTGAAGATTCACTGATTAGCTCGTAGGTGCAACCATTGAACTTTCCTGAAAATTAATTCGCGGCTATGGTCAGATTAGGACTAAGGTGGCCAGCAGTTCAGCAAGGGCGCTATCAGATCAGAAACGGAGAGTGCCAGGTATCGTGTGTGTTTGTGTGTGTGTCGATGTGGAAGGCATGAGCGTGGTGTCGTTCGAACAGTGTCCGTGTATCAAGGGCATCTCGATTGGAAAACTTCAAGTTCCCATACCCGTATGGTACTTCCTTGCGCCCAGAACTGCTACAAACCAGCACCCCTTGTAGTACCATCGTGCCAGGAGTGGGTGCTCCGTGGCTGCCGTGCTACTGAGCAGGCATTCAGTAAGACCAATACCATTAGGTGCGAGCAATGCCCGTATCATTGCGTTGGAATACATAGCAACTCAACCCTGCGAACCGCACTTGGGAACCGAGCCAGATATCAGATCAGCACTCTGCGGCCGGACAGAGGGCTGAGAGGTACCGGCGGGAGCAGGTGTGAGCCCGGGGTTTCCCCGATTCCATAGGCAACCCAGGACAGAGGGCTGAGCGGTGCCGGCAGGAGCAGGGCTGATCCCGGGGTTTCCCCCATTCCACCGGCAGCACAGGACAGCGGGCTGGAGGGTACCGACAAGAGCAGGTGTGATCCCGGGGTTTCCCCGAGTCCACCGGCAGCCCAGGGCAGCGGGCTGGAGAGTATCGACAGGAACAGGTGTGAGCCCGGGGTTTCCCCAAGTCCACCGGCAGCCCAGGGCAGCGGGCTGGAGGGCATCGACAGGAGCAGGTGTGATCCCGGGGTTTCCCTGAGTCCACCGGCAGCCCAGGGCAGCGGGCTGGAGGGCATCGACAGGAGCAGGTGTGAGCCCGGGGTTTCCCCGATTCCACCAGCAGCCCAGGACAGCGGGCTGGAGGGTATCGACAGGAGCAGGTGTGAACCCGGGGTTTCCCCCATTTCATATGCAACCTGGGAAATCATCGACGGGAGCCGAAAAGTCCCAAACGTGTCCTGGACGTTGAAGCTCTCATTGTCACCTGGACAATTAACTGCTACTTAACTTCACCAGTCTCAGCGTCTTCAAATTATGTCATATGTCACATCCATGTGATCTTTACACTGCATTCATATTTGGGGGCGCCTATATTTTGCAGTTGGAGGGAGTCGGTCCACCAAACAAAAACAGTATTGCCTTCTAGGGCACACCCGCGAAAATCAGTTGCATCAGATTCTGCTTTATATCTCTTCCACAACGGCAGGCATTTGCTCAATACGCTGTAGGAACTAATTCTGCAAAGTTCTGGCTTTGGCATAAGCCCTTAGAAACCAGCGCTTTTTCAGCCGTGACAGCACTGATTGTACTACTCTCGATCTAGCCGAACCGTGGCTAGTGCTACATGCGACACAGAGTGTAACATGGACAAGTGTTACATGGTTACATGAGCGCACATGTCAGCCATGAAAAGATACACTCGTCCGACATTCCCGCGCCCTTCCTAGCTCATAAGTGCATGAAGCGGGACATTTTCAGCCACACCGTTCTTTACATGGTTTAATCGGATGACACTGATGCTATTGACGCTCAGTATTACCGGCCAGGGGTCTCTTCCAGGCGTCAAATATTGAAGCGACGCGACACACGTATGATAATCCGCGGTGGGCGACCGACGCCGAATGCGTCATGCAATCGATATTTTGTTTCAGTAACTCGACGCAAGGTGGCAGAGCGCGCTTTAAGGACAATCTGTCCGGACCACGCCCGCCGTTCCTCGGCATCCATTGAACTTCGCCCGACAATATGCACAAATATCCGTGAGGAAGACGGAAGTTTTTCTGAGCTGGAAAGGGAAAGCGGTAGAAATTTTTGATTATCCCTTTGCGTCAGCCCAAGGAGGATTAATGTACCATTTTCAGTAGGTTAGCGGTTCAGACCTTACCCTTGCCTGTCCCCTCCCCCCCCCCCCATCACCTCCCGCGCCCTGCAAGCCCTCGACTTGATAACTTGAGCATCTATCAGCCTATGTAAAACCTACGTAAAGAAAACGGCAGCAGACAGACCAAAAGCTCCCTCCTTCCCCCAAAAAGAACAAAAAAGCAGACCAAAAGCCCCCCTCTCCCAAAAAAGCAAAAAAAAAAAACAAACAAACTCGCAGCCCATTCGATCGGGTTCACTTCCAGCCGACCGCCCAAGTGAAATCGTGCGTGATCACAAATTAATGAGCCAAGGCCACCCCAGTCACGCGTCACGGCATATAGACCAGCAGCCGCTGTCGGGTACCACGCAGCGCTCCTGCTCTCCACACGCCAGAGCCCGCGCGCAACAGCTGGTGTAGGGAGAGGCATCCGAAGGTCGTCGCGTCCGTGGCCGCCAGCGAGGGCGTACGTATGGACATAGCAGCCCCCGGGGCTTACCATGTGCTCCCTCTTACCAAATTTATAGCATGCGTTAATGGGTACAAGATTAGACGTTGACAGTTAAAACCCCATGCAAACATGTTGAAAAGCAATATCGAGATCCAACGATGCTTTTTTACGACCCGCAAAAAACGAGATCATGTAATGCTGTTTTAGGGCGCGCAAGAAATCGCACGCTTGCGGCATGCCAAACTTCGTTTTCAGTTAAAAAGAGTTGTACCTTCCCCCGCTCCCGAAATCCTGCGCAAGTTTCTGATCGCTAGTAACTATCTCAGATGCGCGTTCTGCACTGCATCCTCCCGCGTCGTTAGATAATGGTATGTGCAGCCATGAACAGTCTGCCACCAAACTGAGCGGTCTCTGTTCGGGAGTTCCCGGTTCGAATTCACACTCGGGTAATTTTTGCCCGTCCCACCCACACCACAGCGCGGCAGCACTAGTGCCCTTCGTACTTACACGGGCGGTTGAATCATAACATAGTGTAATAGTATTGGCATATCACAGCAGCGCATTGATAATTAACAATGATGTAACATGTAAATTAAATAACAATATAATAACAGCATAATCATACTGAAGATGGTGAAGCGTTACTCGCAGAGTAGCGCCACAACCGGTCTGTCCGCCCCTAACGAGGACCGGGAGGGGGGAGGGAGGAGGAGGAAGGGGGACGGGTTCCAGACGGCCGCCATTTTGCACATAATGCTGGCGCCGAGGCGGCGGTCGCAGAAGGGCCAGTCATGCTTCCGCGGGTGGAAATTCCTGGCACGGACACGCGACCCGGCGGCAGGGCAGGGCCATGGCGCCGGATTAGCCAGACAGCCACGGTACCTGGGCCCGCTTTCTTAGAAAACCATTCCAGACGAGGGATACGACACGGAACATTTAGCGCCTTGAAATCCGCATTTCATTTAAATAAAAGGTACAGTTCAAGCTCAATAAGTTATGCCTTCTTGACTTGTCAAGCCCGACCGCAAGATTTTTATTTCCCGTTGTCGTACCACCTGGAATTGTTGCGCAATACCGTACACTCACAATGCACAAACATATATATATATATATATATATATATATATATATATATATATATATATATATATATATATATATATATATATATATATATATATATAACATATCTATGTGTATATATACATATAAAATTTCGGACCACCAAACCTATGGATCGCATTACTAATGGACTCCGGAGGACCGAAAGACGCTCATGATGCCTTCCAAACCATTGAAAAACGCCAGAGCGTTTTCGCCTGAGCCTTCACTTTCATGCTATCAACACTATTATTTGGAGCTTGAGCTCACAAGCTCTAGACCAAACCTTATAACACAGTGAACTCAACCCAGTTCTTCCAAAATTAGGAAGTTACCAGCCCAATACACAAAAAA